TTCCATCATCTGTCAATCGGCTCGTCACAAGAGTCCATCACGACAGAAACCCAATATTTTTACTGTTGCCTTTGTTATATTTTGTGTTATATTTTATCCTTTATTTTATCCTTTATTTATTTATCAGCACAAATTAAAAAACATATGTATGTATGTATGTATGTATGTATGTATGTATGTATGTATGTATGTATAAACATTACTTTTCATAGATGCCATCATTATCAACTTGAAACAAAGTAGATAAGAAATTAGAGCAAAAAGAATTGGCAGGCGATGGCACAGTTCTATTTTAACAAATGTTTCAGATGAAATCTGGGAGCAACAGACCAGTCATGTGTGTTAATAGCAATAGCACTTAGACTTATATACCGCTTCATAGTGCTTTACAGCCCTCTCTAAGCAGTTTCCAGAGTCAGCATATTTCCCCGAACAATCTGGGTTCTCATTTTACCCACCTCGGAAGGGCGGAATGTTGCATCACCCTTGAGCCTGGTGAGATTTGAACTGCCAAACTCCTGGCAGCCGGTGATCAGCAGAAGTCGCCTGCAGCACTGCCCTCTAACCACTGCTTCATCGTGGTCAGTTAGTATAAATTTGGATCAGTTGCAGCAACAAACACTGGTTGCAATACTTGTTTCCAATGGTTCCCAATCTCCCATTTCTGTGATCAATATTCAGGAATTACATATTGTTAAACATACTGACTTAATTAGAGCATTAAGTGTAGTAGAGTTCTTCGACTTGCACATTTATATCTCTGTGTGTTGGCCTGTTAAAGATATTTCCTTAATATGGATTTTGACATTTTTTTCCCTGTGACCAGGACAAAAAGCTTTTTCAATATATTTCATTTCTGTTCATATTGAAGAATCAATTATAATCTTGATATTGGCAATTGCCAAACATTTAAATTGTTTTCTGTTTGGAAAGACGCACATAATGATTCAGAACGGATTCCACTGCTAACATAATGAATATGCAATGGCTAATAAGACAATTGCTATAATTTGCTACAATAAACATAAAACTCAGTAAACTTTATTGTAAGAGTGCAAAGCAAAAACAATAATTCTCAATGCATTAGCCTACTGGAGCTATGCGGAGTTTAATTTCCAGATGTGATTCGAAGATGGCTACATAAAATATACAGATTGAATTTATTCAAGAAAAAACTCAAATTTAGAAAATGATTTGATGCTTCAATTGCTTTTGTAAAGGACATCAAAAGGGTGATCCAAACNGAAGGAAGGAAGGAAGGAAGGAAGGAAGGAAGGAAGGAAGGAAGGAAGGAAGGATCACCCTAGCTCAGTCTTGGTGCCCCCAACACGAGTAATGTCAAGCTGGCCATGCCTATCCCAGCCATGCCTGTCCACCTTGGCCCCCCCAAGGTCAAACACAACCCTGATGCACCCCTGAATGAAATCGAGTTTGACACCCCCTGATGTCGCAGATAAGAATATGTCAATTGTGGGATCTTTGCTTTGAATTTCACCTTTTCCACAAATATAACTTTAGATCAGTGTTTCTCAACCTTGGTAACTTGAAGATGTGTTGATTTCAACTCCCAGAATTCCCTAGCAGCATGCTGGCTGGGTAATTTGGGGTGTTGAAGTTCATATATCTCCAAGTTGCCAAAGTTGAGAAACACTGCCTTAAAGAAATCATTTTCTCCCTGTACCACGTTAAGGGGATAATAATGTTAATTATTGCAATTGAACCATTGCACAAATGACAAAATAATATGAAATGCTTGAAAGTCTCCGTATTTTTTATCCATAATTGTAACTGTGTATGGATAATACACCAATTGTTTCCAGTAAATGCTGTATGATGGTATATGGTAAAACTTTGATTTTATGGGCCTCCATTCAGTGGACTTTGGATGTGACGATTAAAAATTGCATTTGTACTGCTTCACAAAGGAATGTTTGTGCAGTTTATGTAAACTGGAATTTAATTGACGTTTGGCTTTAATAGACACAGCTTCTCCTCTGTCTATAAAATCAAATTTTTATTGTATGTTACGTTATCAAGATGCTTTAATAATTTTGAGCGTTAGGTTTGAATATTGCATGCGCTTTGAACTGGACTGGGCAAATCCTATGAAAAAGGAGATTCATACATATTCCTGATTTTTCCAATACAGCTTGGTCAGTGGATTTGCACAGTTTTGATTTTCAGTGGCTTTCTTATACTCCAAGCAGTAGTAGCAGTAGTCTAAACTTGAGAAACGCAACGTTTTGTTAACCAACAGGTGCATTGAACTAACTACTCTCTTTGGATTTTTAGGTAACGGCGTCAATAATGCTGCAGAATTTAAAATTCCTCCTGTTAATGTTCCGTCCCCATTTCCAAGGATCACGTAAGTGTTTTTTTAAAAAATCATTCCTTCTCACTATAAAAAGAGTTCCAGAATTTTTTGTAATCCTTAAATGAAGTATTTGCCAGAAATAGCAATAGCAATAGCAGTTAGACTTATATACT